CAAAGTTCATCAATTTGAAAATGTGTAAAATTGTGCTATACTGTAAGTGATTTTATTTTGTTACTTAATAACCAGTCTGTGAAACTGGGACTGCAGTTCCTCATTAAACTGCATTTTGACTAAACACTCCATAATCCTTTCAGTAAACTTAAATATACTTGGGTGTTGTTGTTGTTGTGAAATTTATAGCTTTCTTTTTTCTTCTATGCATAAATACAGTGGGTATGGAAAGACACCACCCCCTTTGAACCTTCTGTTGTATGACAAATTAAATTAGGCTTGTTCCATTTTTATTACACACAGTAACCCACATTAGCCAAGTGAAAATACAATTCTAAAACATTCTGAAAATTAATTAATACTACAACAGTAAAATACCTTATTTGGATAAGTGAACACCGCTAATCAGAGGCCAAACCTAGATCCCATCGGAAATCTTTAGAATGACTTGAAGAGGGCAAATATTCCTCCCTCTGGGCATGCAAAATTTGTAGAGATGTATCCAAACAGGCTGTAATTCAAGCAAAAGGTGCTTCCACCAAGAATTAACTCGGGGGAGTGGGGTGAGGGGGGGTGTTATCTTATCCAACCTAGTTATTTTACATTTTTTTCAGAAATGTTGCTTTCTTTTTTGTTGGAATTCAATTCAACTTTATTTGAGGTTATACTGACATGGGTGCATAGTATAGTGAAAAGTGTTTCTCATGAGTCACTCAGGTGCAGTATATAAATAGAACAGAAGACAAGACTGTAACACAATAACAATAACAGTGTAATAACATAACAGTGTAAACAAAAACTGTGCTAATACCCAATCAGAGAAAAGTGTACAACAGGACAAAAACAGTGCAAAAGTAATTTGGGGAACAGTGCAAAAGTAATACGACTAGTGCAGTTTTAAGTACCATTTCGGCTTACATTCAGTTGTCATGTATGTAGAGGTGTAGGAGTCATTGTGGGTACAGGAAGAAGTGAAGAGAGGTCATGATGTATGAAGAGAGGTATGATGGGAGGGAGTGGGGGCGTCACCAGCTTGACGGCTCTGGGGAAGAAGCTATTTTGGAGTCTAGTTGTGTGCGACTGGAGTGACCGGAACCTTCTGCCAGATGGTAGGGGGACAAACAAGTTATGACTGGGGTGAGTGGGGTCAGACATCATTTGGGTGGCTTTTTTCAGACTTCTGGTGCTGTAGATTTCCTGGATGGATGGTAAGGCACTGCCGATGATGTGTCGGGCAGTTTTGACCACCCGCTGCAGTGCCTTTCGGTCGGCTGCGTTGCAGTGGCTGCATCCGACAAATTGTTGCATTGTTGCACTGAATTGTTGCATCCTTGCAAACTGAAAGGAGGTGGTGACTTTCTATACCCACTGTATATGCTTGCTTACCGAGAGGTGTTAAGAACCTAATGAATTCTATAGATTCAAATTATTCAGCTCATTTGCTGCATTTTTAATTCCTTTCAGTATGTAATGTAATTAAATTGGAAATATATACCAAAGAATTTAGCAACAGAGCCACATTTTTGTGCAGGCTTATGCAGGCCGCAGACAGACAGAGCTGGTTCAGGGCAGACGGGGAATGTTTTGGGCAGGATTCAGGTATTGTATCCTTCTAGGATGCAGGTTATTATGCACACTACCTGTGGCGGAAGGTATCTCAAGGACAGAGCACTGGCATCAGTGGCAGAACAGGGATGACATATCCTGGGTTTAATGGATTCATCATCTATTAATTGCACCGAGGAGGTTGAGACAATGGGCCCGAGTGATTCCTAACCGCCCTGCGAAGGAAGAACTTCTGATATTTCTAATATTCAAATGACATTAAAAAGCAGGTTTCAGCAAGTATTACAGCGAAAAGGCTAGCTGTCTTCATGGAAACATTTAAAATAAAAAACTCGCAAGCTATCAATATTCAGTGTAAAAACGTATTGAAAGCTGCAGGTCATAGAAGCAGATTTCTAAAATGTATGGCTGTAATAATGAAATCTTTTTTAAAAAAAATCTATAAATGAAAATAAAACTCTGAGATTCTTTATTGACTTATATTGGATTCCTGAATTCACACTGAATAATTCTGATGAAGAATTTATATTTTAACTTTTGCAGGAACATAACTGCCTGTGTTTCCTGTGTTCTAAATAGGAAAGTACAAAATAGCTGTTTTTAAAATATTTCTAAAACTTGTTACAATTGAGCCCATTATATAATTGCAATTGTATTCCCTCATAAAAAAGGTTGTAGTAGTTTCCATTTTCTTTTAATCTAGCCCCATTGAAAAGAGCACATTTTGCTATATTGACTATATATTGCTATATTGACATATATATTTAAAACAATAATATGAATAGATAAAAACACATTTCTAAAATATGTTACGATAAATGTCATGATATATTTGCAATTTTTTACATAAATCCAGATGAAAGCATTTGTGGTAGCACCCATTTTCTCTTCATCTAGATGTGTTGAAAAGAGAGGAACATATTTTACAGAAATCGTAAGTACTAAATACATTAACAGAAAGAGAAATCATAAATGTTTGGATGGTATTTTTCCCATAATGTGTTTCCTTGTGTTTTTCTCGGGTTTAAACACAATTATATAGCACTTTGGAGAAAAAATACAAAACAGCAGGCCAAATGTTGAGGACAAAATAGCAAAAATCTCAACTGCAACTGTGTATTTTCCAGGTGAGCTGACATA